TGTACGTCCAACTGTTTTGCAATATGTGCATACATTATTTTGCAATCATTTTATGCACATTTTGCCAAACTGTAAAGAAATCTCTGAGTCGAGCTAACTGTTCCTCAGAGGAGGTTGTCTAAAACAATGATCTCACCAGTTAAATAAACAAAATGAAGTATTTTATTCTTAATAAAATCTTCCAGCCGATCCAGTCGTGTTCTTGGGCAAAACACTTCACCCGCCTCACCTACTGATGGTGGTCAGAGGGTCCGGTGGCACCGGTGCATGGCAGCCCCACCTCTGTCAGTGTGCCCCAGCTGTGMCTGGAGCTTACCACCATCAGTGTGTGTGAAYGGGTGAATGTCTGAAGYATAAAGATCCTGGGGGTCCAAGTGGACTTGATAAGGTGCTGTATAAGTTCAAGCCATTTACCATTTAATAACCTTTGCAGATGTTTTATACATTGTTGTATTTCTTTTAACCAAACAACATATTAATGCGAAATATGTTCACCATGGCTGAATATTTTACTGCTTATCAATTAAATCCCCCAATTTCTGTCTCTCCAACAAATAGTTCTTCCTCTTCATATTCCAGCTCTTTAAGATACTGTCTCATCTTTTCATCCCAGAAAATCTCATCTTGTTTCCACTTTTGTAATACTCTCAACTGTTCTGGGATTGAACTGTGGTAAAATAGGCTCAACATATAAATGCTGTCTGGTTGGAAGAAGTAGCAACCAAACAAGCCATGCCATGCAAAAGTATTGAGATGTTAAAACATAAATATTATTTTAGTCAACATGCTGTAAAAGCAGTCCTTGAAGACCCTGCCATCACGTTTTGGCTCGTTAAACTTCATATTTTCATTTGGGAGGAATCAGATGTTTCATGGAAAAAGATTGAAACTTTTGCCCAACGCTGTTATTGTCATGCAAAATTGGTGTGCCTATGATTACAAGAATCTTATGTAAATACGTTTTTGTGAAAAGAAAATGTATTTTAAGATCTGTGCAATATCTTGAAAATTGCATCTTTAAAAAATAAATCAGTAATTTGGCAGTAGGAATTTTTAACAGCATACTTGTTATGAGCAGCCAGTCAATAAAACTCGCTTGCATGTGAAGGTGCATCACTTTCATGCAGAAGTATCATTTCCTTGCWGCATACCTGCGGTTGGTTTGGTTTCCTCAGCTTCCCAGCCTACAAACGACATAAAAGCTCGAGCTTTTACCTTTGCCTCTGGGACAACGGCTGTTGATCGCGAGAGGAGTGACAAGCCTGAATCTCTGTCTGTTTACTGTAATTAAGCTGTCGAGGCTTGTGATTTATGACGTATTGAGTAAGAGAGGTGTTATCACAGAGTAAAAGGAGGAAGACGGAGTGACAGAAAGCCACAGGGTTTGTAGCTACTAACAGGAGAGGAAACGCAGACGGTGCAGAACACGTCTCCTGTGTGGAACAGAAAAGCTAGAAGGCAAAAGGGAGCTTTTCTTAGACTGCCTCTGCTCCGTACTTGTGCAAAAACAAGATCAGTTTTTTATGATTCGACCTGATTGCTGTACACTTTGGTATTTATCTGACAGAGTGCAGTTAACCTCTTCAGCTCTCCAGATGCTCAGCTTTATGAATAGTTTTTTACAGAGATTAGATACACTGCAACATTTTGAACCTTAAGTCCTTCTATTTTATTACATGCACATTACATTTATATTGTACTCAAATTAAATTTTCTCTTTCAGTTTCTTTCAGTGATAGTTCACAGCATCCTCACACCTGCACATTGATTTAATGGTTGATCAATGTCCCGCCCTGCTCCAAATCCCATTTACACTCTGCGAGGGGCTGGTGGTGCCCTCAACACACTCCACTTTAGATGTAATGGACAGGACTCCCCCCTCCTGTTTTCTGGGTACGTTTACCAGTAATGTAGGAAAATGTGGTATAACGGGCATGGAGAATGAAGAACTTTAACGGGTTTGCAGGTCTGAAAATGGTGCCGTCCACATCTGGAACCTGAACAGCAGGAGGCCGGTGAAGGTTGTAGAGGCTCACACTGGGAGTTCAGTCATCTGGGTCAGCACGCTGCAGTCCACCGGGTCTCTCCTCAGGTGAGTCTGTTTTATGGTCTGGTGCATCAGCAATCACAGGCAGCTGTGTCTTCCTGCAGGATTTTTAATGTTAGACACGAACAACACTTCCCATACTCCTGATATTTTCATATATTTTCACTCTCTGTGGTTTTTAAGAGTGATACTTCAGTGCTGATGTTGTAACACACCACAATTACTACTGAGACCCAGAAATTAAAAAGGTCCATGTGGTCATAAACTGCTGTTACACAGAGAACTGTTCTATCTAACCAAGTCCTACACTTTTATATCCAGTCTAAAAGTGTTTTGAGGCTGATATACTAAGCAAGAGCAGGATGTGTTAGATTTTTAATCTTGTTAGCCTGGATTTTTTTCTTGTTTTAGGAAGTCTTACCAAGTGCAATTGTCTTACTGCATTGGCAGATTATTCCGCTTGATTTGAGAACATTCAGATTATAATCTAGTATCTTTTTTACTTATTGTTAGATGTCTAAATTTTGCAGTGTACACAGCTTATATGAGCCAAAACTCTAGCTGCATAAGCATGACTCAAAGCCACACCAATTATTGTACCTTTTGAGTAACGATACATTTCAGAATGATTTACAAAACAAAATTTACTTTCAGGGACACAAGTAAAGAAGTTGAACAAAATATAAAAGCAGAAATAACAGCACAAATTGAAAAAAGCAGTTTGCAAGTAGCAATAAAATGTGCAATGAAAGCAATAAGACATTTATAAATGAGACATAAAAGTCACAGTTGGTAACTTTAGTTAAAAACAGGTATTTTTATAAAGAGTATTTGTATGTTTAGCTTTAAAAAGCAGAGTGCCAATAATTCATTCACTAAGTGGGACCTCATTTCACAAGCCTGAAAACGAATAGTTCTGCCTCTCGGTCCAGACTTGAATATGCTGGTACCCCTCTGGGTTTGTAGGAAACAATAAGAATGGAACAATAGATTGGAGCAACACATCCTGGTACTTAAGCTGCATTTTATTTACCTAGGACGTCGGAACTCAGATCTGGGAATGACGTCATGTCCGACTTAACCGCAGTCCATTTGCACATCTGAAATTCAGTAGGACTAGCTAATTGTTATGTTCAGTGACCTGGATAACAACTATTAGCAATACAAGCTGATAACAGTGTTTTTTTCTGTATTTCATGCACTTCAGCATCATGTTCACTGATAATAGTTGTACATTGCTGTGTCTGTGTCTGGTTTACTGAGACACAAACTGACTGAAATAAAAATATAAAGTGTATTGTTGCAGCTATCATGGCATAACCTTACTGGATTTTGAGGTTGGGGCTGGTTAGTAATCCCTGACCTCCAGTGTCTGACTCTGTTGGGTGTTCTAGTTGAATTTTCCAACATAGAACTTGGAAATTCCGACGTCCGAGTACAAATTAAACCTACTATTGTGTAAAAGCTCCACCTCTTTATGGGTGGAAACAAGCTCTCCTCTTTGAAGGGTGGTAAATCAGCTAATAAAACAACATTAAATAAGATGGCAATTTGTCTTTGATGTTTTTAGGTACCCAAACCATGGCCTGTCAGTCACACAGTTATAAAATATCACTGACAATTAGTGATGAAATCAAAATAAATTCCTAAATGTRGATTTAAGTTAATCAAAGTGAACAAATGACACCACCAAGTGGCTTGATGTGTCTTATATAGTAGTCAGTATTTCTTACACTTGTGTGCTCCTTTTAATATTTATCCATTTCATCTGCACAGCATGCATCGTCCGTAACCTTAAAGGTGGGTTGGGTTAGGTTAGGGTTAGTTTAAAGATAGTTTATGGAGCAATCAGGTGAAACAGGCTTCAGTTAGTCTAGCCTAGATGTGACAAATGCATTGACTGGTTTTCAGCATCACTTTGGGATGATGTGCTGCAGATATAGGTTCAGTTCCATCAATGAATGAATGCTGTTCTAAGCATTTTGTATTATGAGAATAGGAGAACTTATAAACAAAACAAGGTCAAGGAGGATCATTTTTACAGTACCAGACMTTTCAGATTGAGCATGTAGTTGGTTAGTCATTTTGTGAAGTTTTTAGGGTCATAAAATAATGACTGGAATACATTTCGAAGTAGAACCAGATCTTTATGACGTTTGGACACCAAGATCAGTCAACCTTCTTCCACACAGAAATTCTGAGTGTAAGATATTGTTTGTAGATTAAATGTAAAAGAAATGTAATGTAAAAATGTAAATTCATAATTAATATAAATCTTGCTCATTTAAAATCTGTTATTGATTGGTTTAAAAAGAAGGTTTCGTAGTATATTCTGCTACATGTGAATTTTTATGTTCTCTGTGAATGGAGCAGTCAGGGTCGAGACCTGCAGGTCTGTCTGTGGGACCTGAGGGACGGTGGCTGTGAGCTGCTGGACTCTGTGTGGACGGGCAGTGTTGGATTCTGTCAGTGCTCCTTACTGGAGACGAGCTCAACAAACCACCTGCTGGCCTTTGCTGGACAACAGACAGAGGAGGTATGATGCCGAGCGTGGAGAGTATTTCTACACCCCTTTCCATCAGTTGTCGCCCTTTCCTTCTGTCAAAGCTTCTTGGTTACAGGTAGTCAGAATTAAATAGGAGACATGAACATAATCAGATCTCTTTATGCAAAACTCTTTAGTTGACTTTGACAATTTTATTGTGTTTAGTTTGTGGAAATAATCCTTTTTACTGTACGAGTTTCTTCTGTATTTCAAAGTTTCCATGTTACAAAATAACTTAAATATTTGCTTCGTAAAAGTCACATATCCAGTTAGGGAATTTCTCCACGGTTAATGTAATACATGTACAGAGTTCCCACGGGTCCTTGAAATTCTTGAAAGTTTATGAATTTGAAAAAATTATTTCAAGGCCCTGGAAAGTTTGTGAAAACAGCCAAAAATTACACTTGTCCTTGAAAGTCCTTGAATTTTTTTTGGGGATTGACGTTCTCTATTCACATGACTATCGATCATCACACGATTTTCATCATCTTTAAAAAAAATTATAAAATTAAATTAAAAAAACTTACGTTTGTTGCGGTGGATAACTCAGGATTACGGTAAACTGACGTCATTGTTTYTGACTCAACAACTTCTATGTTGCCAGTATTTCATTGAATTTACATGATATTAAACYTGTTTATTGGTAACATTCTGCGGTAGCAGTAGGTAATTGCCGTTGCACATGGTTCTTTAATCTCTAAAGTCCTTGAAAGRTCCTTGAATTTAATGTTGACCAAGGTGTGGGAACCCTCCATGTAGTTTGCAGACAGGAAGTGTCAAACACTGATCAGAACGGCATCATTATAAACCAGAGTTCACRTCAGAAGTCATTATACTCTTTGGAAGAGCAGGAGCTGCATACTCTCCGTYGGTTTTATGTCAGTAAATTTTGACCATGGTTGGGAACTTGCCATTTATTAAACACTTTTGTCTAAAACACTTAATTGCTCTGGGAAAACCTATAAAAAGAAGCTTGATTGTGTCTGTCAAAGGGTAACTAATGAGCATGTTCCTGTGTCTAAATCTGTATTACCTGATGAAATCATCTGAGTGAAAGTTCATGTTTTAAACCACTGGCTGGTGCAGTCCTGACTGTAAGCTGATGTGAAATCACACTTTGGTCTGTCTTGTACTTAATTCACCACACCCTCCAGCTTGTATGGTTTTGTGCAGAGCCGGTGTCTGAGAGGTGAATTTGGATGGGGACGAGGCAGCCAAGTATTCAGCCATCTTTTATTGCTTCCAGATTCATGTTACGTGCTTTAATGTGGAGGAGCGACACTTGAAAGGGACGGATCGGTCACCTGATCCAGTCAAACGTGCCTCTGCTAACCCCAGCCAAGCTAGCCAGGCATCAGGGCGCCTGTGACTCCCAGCACCTCAATAATGCCATTGTCCCAACAGACACAGACAGAGGCACACCTACGTGGCCATAAAAAGCAGGCCAAAACGGAGCGCAGCCGATTCTGTCATCTGGGCTCTCCACCTCAATTCCTCAGACATAACGGGCCAAGACAGATGCTTATCATGCATCTGCAAATAAAACACCCACATTAACAAATTCCCTCGTGAAACAATACATACAGTAAGCACATGCCACAGAGCATGCATAATAGCATGATTTAGCCCAGTGGGCTGAAAACAGGTCACTATTTATATATCTTATATGAAAGCAGAGAATAGTTTCATTCTGAGCTACTTCTAGTGGGGTTTTTTTCTGTTTACTGCTCACAGTGAGACTCCTGCCAGCAGATTGTTGCTGTGGTAAAAACGTTAATYAATAGTTTGAGCGTTTTATTTATGGGCAGTTTGATGCCACACAAGAACAGAGATCACCTGAGGCACAGAGGAGTTCTTAAATGCTCTCTTTGTCAGGCACGCAGAAGTAAACATGCAGGACAGATGTGGCCTAGTGATAAAATACAGATCACTCCCTTTAAGGGCTGTTTAATGTGAGGCCTAATGAGGATGAATATGTGAATCATCAGCACGGAGGAAGTCGGAGGAATTAGTTTTGGTAGTAATGTGGGTACGTGGTCACACAGAGGCACTTACACTTTATCATTAGCTCCATTAGTGGCTGTAGTTTTATCAGAATCGCTGCCAATGTGTGCAGGAAAACACCACTCATGTCGCAGGGTCAGGCTTTAGCGGGATTGATTATAGACACTTTGGCAGCTACCCTGCACGAATGAATAGTACTGTACTGATGGCTCAAAGCATCCAGATCCTCCAAGGGGGAACAAAAGTGTGTTTTTCAGTATTTCAAACACCAGTATTGAATTAAGAAGATTCAAAGGATTTTTTTTTCTTTTTGTACTTTTTTTCTCCTATGAAATTTTTAAAAAATTGTTTTGGGCAGGAACATGTGCACTGAAGTCATATTTTACATATCTGAGGTAGATGTGAAGCACAGCTGCGGCTGATGAGTAGGATGAGTCTTGATGTGTGGAAAGTTTTCCCTTTTGTCAAACCACATTAGGACAAAAGTGTCCTCCAAACACTCTTTGACACATTTCCCATCAGAGGACAAATTACTGTGTTTTTGCTGTTTTATGAAATATTACAAAATTTGTCTTAACTGGTCCATTTGTTGATGTAAATCTTGCAAAGGCCTCGTTGCTTACAGTTAAACAGCAATACTGCTGATGATGAGCATGTTGCTCAGTATTTCACAGATGGTGCTGATTTAATTTACAACATATTGTTTCCCACAAATTAAGCATGCTGTTTTGCCACTGGCTTTAGAAATTTAACACTTAGATCTTCATGTCTTGTTAAAAACGTTAGAAGAGTTAGAAACTCCTATATTGCTCACAACCTCTGCAACCCTTGGAGATCTAATGTTCATAGAGGAACCTGTCGATGTAAACACCCACTTGCCTTCAAAATAAAAGCTTTCTTTTATCACTTGTGGACCGTATTTGGCTGTAAGATGTCTGGGGGTGTCATAGATTTATTATTATTATTATTAATATTACTTTTATTGTTATCTAACTAAAACAAAGGTGGCATACGCAAACTTATACAATGAAACATCAAACTGTTTATGTTGCTTAATGGACTGTTTCATGGATACCGCCATCTTATAGCATAAAGCATCATGGTCCAGTTTGGGGGCATCGGGTGCCGTGTATTACTTGTATATTTGTGCAAAAAAGATTGCATGAAAATAATTTAGAAGATATATAATAATGAAAACACAAGATTGGCGCCGTTAGGTCTAGCAGATCTAGTTCTAAATAGGTTGATGCAGTTTAAAGTGATCTTTGCCACATTTTATATTTTTCAACTACATAGTATTTCATACTATTATTAAAACAAAAATTAAGTTAATGTTTATGCCAAATTTGATGTATCTTTATCATCCAGCCCCACTTGTCATAATGCTGTTAATAAGATAACTGTATACAGATTTTTTTCTGGCAATAGATTTGATATTGTGAGAAACTATAGTACGCATTATATTTATAGTGAAATTATTGTACAACAGTATAGCCTTACCTCGGTTTTGCGTCTCCAGATTGCTATTTTAGACACTAATCCCAACATTTAAGCAGCCTAAAATTTCTGGACAAGTTTGTCCATTTTCTGATTAAGGGTTGGTACATCACAAACCAAAAGAACACTTTATGATGCGCAACAGTCTAATCTTTAAAGTTTGAGAACCTGTCCCATTACTGACTTCTCTTTTGGTTACCCACAAACAATTGTGCTCCGTTTTTGGTAGGCGGCGCTAAATAGTATCCGCGAAATACTCCATAGACATGGCTGCAGCTTTGACTAACTTTCAGATCAACATTTCATTTGTTCTCCACAGATCAAGATTATTGAATTGCCCAGTAAGAACCCAGTCTGCACCCTGATACCAGAGGCAAAGCTGGGAATGGTCATGTGCATAAAACTATGGAAGGTAAGTTTGCCAGGTTGCTCTCAGGTGTCATTGTTTCAAATCTGGATCCTACATCTACTTTGAAACAGTAGTTCCTTGTCTCTCCTTGGATCTGTCAAGTCCAGCTGGTTTCTTTTAACAACAACTAGATCTCACACTTTTTTTTCCTTTTTTTTCTTATTGGTATTTTTCTTTCTTGGCCTGCTTTATTCTTACTGGCCATCCTCACACGATTAGATGCTGTAATAGACAAATCAACATAAAAGCACGTGTGGGAGGCAGCATGTGATTTACCGTCCAACAACTCGTCTCGGGCCATTTTTCCAAGAGTTTCTTCTCAGCTGGCAGTAAGTCCCAACACTGTAATTAGAGCGTTTGGAAAGGCCGTGGGTTCACAGCCATATATCAGCCTGCAGCTGTATATCCAATCTGATCTGGGCAAAAAGTTAGCTGTTCTGTTGTGTGTATGCTGTTGAAAGTTTTATTTTCCACCCAATAATACGACCGTGTAATTATTTTCATAGTTAATAATTAGTTTTTTGGGTTTGGGTGTCTGTGGGCAGAGACTGATATTTTTCCAATACATTTTATGGACTGTTTAGTTTATATGCAACAAAAGTAAAAACACAGATTATCATGTTGAAACTAGAGTTAGGAAGGCTGCCAGCCTGTACACATCCAGTCCTCTGATCCTGTTAGACTAATCAGAGTCTTCTACAGACTGAAAGCATGGCACATACTGTAGTTTTACATTTTGTTATAAAGCTTGTAGACCAGTTAGAGTCCTGGAGTCTGCTGACATTGTGTTTGTTTTTTTATTGTTTCACTTTGATTTTCCTATTGCACACAAGTTTCATGAATTGATTTATGAACCAATGTTGGCTCAGTGTTGAGTGCCAGGAAACAAAATGATCAATTATAGCAGCATAAATTATATAATATCATTGTTGTACAGCACAGACAGCTGTCTGACTTCAAAGCTGAGGGGCTCAGGTGATTGTAAATCATTTCTTGCTGACTCCTTTTAAGGCAGAGGCGTGCTCATCTGTTATACTGWCTCAGTGAGTGGAGGTCCGAGCTCTGGGAAAACACAGAAAACATGAATTCTGAATGTACACAAATCCCTCCTTCGCTCTCTAACTGGCATATTTTGCCTGTAAGAAGAAAAATGAATTCTCTGCACATCAAATGCTTGTGTAGTCCACCACATCCTTCAGCCTACACAGCTGGAGGCAGCAGCTGACACAAATGTTCCCTCTATTCACCTGATATCACTGTCACACATGCGCTATAAAGAAGCCACTGACATTTATCATTTTTTGTGTTTGTTTTTTCCCATCTGCCCCACTCGATATCACTCGTTCTTTACTTTGCGTGGGAGAAACATGATTCTCCTTTAATCTACAGACAGATTAACCAATAGATTTCTTATCCTTTTTTTTTAAAGATTTTATTCCCTCTGAACAAATCCCCACCAGTCGGACATTATTCTTTAATTCCTAGAAGAATACAGAGGCTGAGGAGGAACAAAGTGCCCTCACATGTGGGCTAGACTTGTGTGAGGATGTTGGGTTTGGCTGGGGGGACGGTGGTGATCTATGATGTGCGCGGCTTTTAATGTGAACGGAGGCTGGCTGGGAAAAGGAAATGTTCCTACACAGATATCCATCACTCTGAGCTCATCACCTTGCTGCCTCGTGGCCATGACATCATGGTGGGACCTGGATGATGACCGAATGAAATGAATGGTTCCTCATGTTGAGGCAGTACCAGCCTCGGGCCTGTGATGGACGCATCAGCACAAACTGCTGCTGGTCTCAGGCTTGTTCAGGCCTGCAGCTGGACCATTTATGACTTATAGTTTTTTCTAAATACTTTTAGATGTTTTTATGTTCCCAGAGAAGTCAGATGCATTTGATTTTCTCCCAAATATCCTTGTTGCACGTTTTTTTTTATACTTTAGATGTGCTGCAAAAAATGCATGCCAAGATTTACAATTTCAAAGAAAATAGTATTTTAATAAGTATTAATTGAAGTAGTTAGTCACCATGCTTTTATTTATGATTTAAAGGCTCATAAATGATGTTATTTTAGCATGAAATTATTGGAGTTTTAGAACGCTCTTATTTAAAATTGAATTTTGTAATTTAAATGATCCCATTGGATTAATATCTGTACAGATATTTTTAATTAAGATTAAGTGCCGAAGCCCGAAAAAAAATCACTTGAACTCATTTCTTGAGGTGAAACGAAACAGTAGGAGAGACTCCACCTTGGACCAAACCACTGACTGGCTGCAGCTGTGTTTTCTTTCCCTCCTCACTGTGATCACCATTATTGGCCATAATATAAAAAAGTTTTACAATTTTACACGTCTGCTATACTGTATCTTGGTTCAAATTTTCTCCTATTTTGATTTATGACTGATTTTCATTTTCTTTTCTTTGTGAAGCTTTCCAGCTAAACCTTTTTTGAAACCAATATGTCTTTGTATATGTCTTTTTTGTGTGTTTGTAAATATAAAATGGCAGGAAAATAAGTTTACAGGTTAGTAATTGAACAGAAAGTATCACATTTCTTGTAGAAAGTTTTTTAGGCGATTGAACTGTTTTTTTTATTGTGCATTATATTCATCAAACTTCCAAATGATGCAACATTAATTGATTTTAATGTTTCATTTTAATTTTACCCAAACCTGAAGCTGAGAAGAGTAGTAGTTTATTTAATTTTACTTGTTTCATGGGTTTTATTCTGTTGTGGCCTCAGAGGTGAATCTTTAAATCGTCTCAAAATGTGAGTAAAACGGTCTGTAAGAGCAAAATACCCCAAATACTCCTGACTGTATATCAGCTCTCATCATTTGATAGTCCACAAGGCAAGTCCAACATGTAGGGGGGCTTCTTCTGGCCAGTTTGGGTGGGAAAGGTTGGGTGGAGGCACTCACCCACAATCAATCCAGAATTTTTTTCTCGGAGGTGGGGCAGGCAGGGACACAGACTGTAGAAGAGTGGCACAGTAAAACTGCTATTTTATCTAAATTCCCTACAATCTAACATTGCAATGAACAGTACGCCACAATTTGAATTTTAAAACTTTATTTACTCAAATATGACATGGTTGTGTCTTGCATGCAGTCGATTCAAAAGCTGGGACATCCAGAACACAAACAAAAATTTGGATACATCACAGTCTCACTATACACCAAAGTCTGCTTGTACTTTCAATGTAATAATTGCATAAAGTAGAATTACAAGAGTGTCTGCACAATATTTACAATACATCAAGAATTATGACAGCTGTATGTATGGTATTTATTGGTGGTTGGCAAACAACTTGGAGCATTACTGCCACCAACAAGGAGTGTGCATTCTGAAGCTTCTAGTTAGAGATGCTAATCTGTGTGCTATGAACAAAGTGATTGACAGCTCTGGTGGGGGTGACCAGGCAAAGTGGCCAATCAGATTTCAAGGGTAGCCAGTGCACCGCCCCCACGTCCACCCCTCTGCCCATGCCCCTGCTCACAATTTACAAAGAAATTAAAGAAGTGAGGGAAATTTTTACAGTTTAAACTAGCATGAAAAAATACTGTGACAACGTAAAGGTAGATTTGAATGAACAAAACTAATAGTTAATAAAAATTTAAATGATACACTTCTGCTCATTAACAATCAATGCTGTGTATTAATCCCTATAACTGAAAGAGTTGAATAATGGGAGACATAAATTTTTTTTTTAACATTTACGTCTTTTATATCAGGTTTGACAGTTGTGGGGCTTTATTACATTTATGTATTTATTTATTTTCCACATCAAAAATTGGCCCTTGCAGATGCTGCTCTGTAAAATTCTGGTTCTTGTGCAAACTTTTTCCTTACCGTAGTTACAGATGATAATGAGCAAAGCAACACTTAAGACAAGCACATTAGCACTATAATGATTTAAACAGAGCTACAAACCTATTGTACTTAAGATTAAAAAAGTCACACTGAACTGTATATATTTTGAAAATTATAGGATGGGGTAAAACTTCATCTTCCTTTTCAAAAATTTAGTTGGGCTTTATTTGTCATAATTCTATTTTCTCGTATTGTTTTCTTGTTATAGTTTTTTTTTATTTTTGTACATGTTTGAAATAAACTTAAATAAGTTACAAATTTTTGCATTAGAGCATGAAAATAATGTTGCAAATGTTGAAAGGCAATTTTGAATGTTGAAAGGCAATACTAGCTAGAAGTTTGTACATCACAATGGTTTAGATGAGTCCAAACTTTTGACCTTTTTTATGCACTATGTGTGCTTTACAGAATTACAACAGAAAAACCAYGTGACTAACGTGACCCAAACTAGTTGTGTTTCTAGTAAAGGCAGAGTTTCCTCCACCGGTTTTCTAAGCAGCTTCCAGTCGTCTGTCTTTCCAGYTGGTCCTCAGTGATGAATCTCCTCCCGGTGCCCCGGCCCCACTCCAGCAGAGAGCCTTCTTGTAGAAATGCCTGTGGAGGATATAATGAATTAGGTGTCTACCCAGGGTTCCCTGACCTCTGACCCATGACATCATCAATCAAGGAGGTCCTTCACTTAAGTGAAACGGTGGGCCCCAATCTGGAACGCTTAGCCCGGTCCCTGCCGGCAAGCAGGGGGCCACTGATTTTCACTTGTTTTTATTTGTTTTCATAATCCCTCAGTGTTCGTCCTCGCTGATGTGTTTGGAAGGAATACACGACTCTGTCTATAATTTGTTTAAAGCTGTACGAAGAAAAATATAGGGCGTTAAAAGAGAAGACTTGATCGCAGATGAAAAATGGTGGACACGGCCTTTGTGCACATATGGAAAAAATTTATCTCCCTCTTCACTTTTGCCTGGCACTGTGATGTTATTCTAAAACAAAGACTAAAGCTGGCACACAAAGTGTGTGTCTTCATAGGCCTTGATCTCCTGAAATGTGTGACCATTAGTCATGTAGCTTCAGAATTTGGATTTGGGTCACAGTTCAGCCAAAAGCATATTTGTGTTTATAGAAGTTAAAATTTTATTTTATTTTATTTTAATTTATTTTAATTTATTTTATTATTTACAGAATTAATTGGTGTCTCAGGAGAACAGAATGATCTCATCGGATAGCTCTCCTCCTTTTCTTTATTTTCCTGTCCTACCTCTAGCCGTGCAAAGATAAACAGAACTCCCACTTTTTTGTCTGAATATCTTTATTTTTAATTCACATATTTGATTTGTAAGCTCAGTATTACCTCAGCACAGCTTTTGGACCTGTTTGATTTCACAAAGTCATGCAATGAAAAGACACGTATCGTAAATGTGACATTGTTTGCAGTTTGAATGGATCTACCTAAAGTCTGATAGTTTCTTCTTATTATTTTTTTTTACTTTATTTAGACACTAAAAAGGTATTTTTGAAACTCTGCTTTGTATTTTTGTTCAGTAAAACTATGCCTGACCACATTTCATGTAATCAAGCCTATAGGACGGAAAAACTGGAATGCAATCACATTTCTACAAGAACTCTAGAAAAAAGTTGTGTTTCTGTAGTTTCTGACGTTAGAACAAAAACAAAAGGAGCATAACAAAAGCAAAGTCATTAGTAAAGATCAGCATTATGAATTTTGACATGATTTATAAAAACAAAATAATCCTTTAGAGTTGCTTTCCGTATTGTGCTGACTGCAACGTCTGCAGCTCAGGAATACAGATGAGGAGTAAAGTGAGGAGTGGTGTAATGGTGTTCTGGACAGAGAGAGCAACAGGCTGACGAATGGAGCGTCTCCTGAGTGTCAGCCGGAGCTTCCAGGATGATAACCTCTGCTCCTCTCAGCTTCCAGCACCAAACGGTGGTTTCTGTGGCTTCACAGCAGAACTCTCCTTTCACGTCTTCACTCACGTTGCTTTTTCATGTTCCCTCTTCCCATCCCGCCGTCCCTCCTCCTCCCTCCTATCATTTTCTCCTTCTTCTTCCAGCCAGAGTCGGGTGTCGGACCTCTCCTGTTGGCTGGATATGAGGATGGTTCTTTGCTGCTGTGGGATGTAACCCAGAGGTCCGTGCTGAGCCAAGTCAAAGCCCACCCTGAGCCCGTCATGTGCCTGACCTTTGACCCGAAACGTCTGAGGGGCATATCAGGCTCCTCTGAGAAGAAACTCTCCTCCTGGATGCTGGACAGCCAGAACAACATACAGGTTAGCAAGCAGATCAGCTGATCTGGCCATATTTGTGTTGAAGTTAAACTTTAATTATCTCATTCATTTATTTGTTGCTTTCAACTACTGTAACCTTTTCAGTGGTTAATGATCATGGATTTATGTCTGTTTAATAATGACCAATTATACAGCCAGTTATTCCAACAAAGCTTTTATCACTTACACCTACTTTGCCTGATTGTTTGCYTTCCCCACCCCTAAATATATAATGTTTTACATTTAAAACATTACAAATGTTTTAGATTATCTGATATTTTAAAGGTCATACAAACATGTTGGAAGTCCTGACCACCCCAACATGCTACACAATAAACTAAGTCCCAAGAAATACAATAAAAGCTAATAGAGGAGATTGGAGAAGAGGAGTGTTGGTTTTCACCAGACTCGCTTGGAAAACATTAGGGGCCAAGGAGGAAGAGGCTCAGCGGGGCTCCAGGGGCCATAAATCAGCTGCTGGTTACACAGTGTTGGCAGGACCAGGGGCCAAGGGCCAGACTGGAGCTGTCACTCCAGAGTCAAACCACCCACATACACAGACACAACGGACCTTGTTTAAATTTTCAAAAAGTTGTTATTCCTTCGAAAATAAAAGTTTCTTACAGAATTGGTTTTAATTCGCAGTAAAATAAAAGTCTATATCATTGCCTTCCATCGTATATCATTTACTAGTTTAAGATTATCTGAAGATTTGTTGAGAAAAGACAGTTGTAGCCATTTTGATCAAGTCTCAAACAGTGTTGTGAAAACCTCACAGATACATCAGTTTTAGCTTAGTACGGTTAGTCTTTTTGGTTGTTTTGAGTAGCTGTGGCAGCCATCTTTAACTAGACTAACTTCGAAAGTTACTCAGCTGAACACGGGCAAAAACATTACAAACGTAATAAACACGAAAACCGTGCCTACAATATTTTACTGACATCTGCACTTTCCAAGTCTTCCTACACGCTGCAGCTCCTGCCACACTTCAAGATCAGCCGCGCTCCATAAGTCATTTTACACAACGGCCAATGCTTCAGAGACTTAATGCCTCATTTGAAGCTCTATTTTCTCTTGATTTCATGAGCAAAAGGGAACGCTCCCATTTTTCAGTCAGCCCTCATGAATCAGAGCCGAGGGGAACCTTCGGCTGATATAGTGCACTCCGGCTGTAGTGAAGGGGTATTATTCTTTCCAGGGATTTTTACAAATGAATGCTTGAATTAGAAATATTTTCAGAGTTCCATTTTCTCACCCCAAATTTGCGTCTAGACAAACATGGCAGAGGATTTCATTCAGTGTCCTGTAAACACGAGCAGCGTGGTTCTTCAGTTTATTTTGCTCAAGCAACACAATATTGATTCAGCGTGTAATCCAGGATGAGGATGACAGGAAAAAAGCACAAGGAGAGGGAAAGGATCCAGTGGGGGCTTTTAAATTATTCCGAAGTGCAGCTCAGTGTGACGTCCAGACAGCTATCCTCGGTTCTTCCCACAAAAGTATTTTTGTGTGGCCGAAGTGAGGGGGGTGGGGGGACCTGCCGGGTGGCAGACTCGGGCCGTGGGTTCTGACGGACGACCTGCGAGAGGTAATAAAAATATCACAACCTTTGGAGGCCCCTAAGCCAAACAAAAAACACATCTGCTGTAACGGGAACAGTAGTTCACAGTGGGAGGCTGCAATAAAGACTGAGGAGACTGTAAGTGCCACAGCACCCCACTTCCCACAAATTACCCCTGCGCTACAGTTCAGTGCAGTGGAACCGGCTGGCAGCACAGATGGATAGTTTTTGTTCAACTGAGGGGAAACTGAATATGACACAACACAGCGCAGTTATGATTTAACGAAGCCAAGGGGCTGCGAGGGAAGCTTATCTAGGCCAGATAAAGACAGATAGCCACAGGAATGGAGCTTAATGTATTACACATGTCTCCACCAGGCTTTTATCTGCCGTGCGACCCCGATGGCCTGAGCTGTTTCATAGTGACGAGCCGTCATCTTCAGCGCCGTTCTCCTGCTCTCCTTCCAGCGCAGGTTTTTGGGGATGTGTCAGGGCGAGGGCGTGGGTGCTGGGGTTTACAAGCTGCTAAGACACATGAGCGTAGATCTGGGCAGCCGTTCAAATGCATGGACAGGTGCAGTGACAGGTTTTTCAGGAGAGAAAAGAGGCAGAGGTTGTGGCCAGCAGAAATTGAAAGCGGGTATCGACAGAGGACTATTAGCTGTGTAAGTGAAGCATGGCTGACATGATCTATGATGACAGTTGTAGGTGGAAGTCCTGCTTGTCTCTGTCATGGAAACATATCCTCTCTCTGAAGCCACCTGCATGATTATTTATCCMAAAAAAAAAAAAAGAACTGGTCAGCTAGTTCACGCCTAACATCACATTAGACTCATCTTAAGTCTACTACTTGGTTTATTTTGGAATACCTTTAAAAAAACCAACACTTTTTTAGTCTCCTCTCCTCCCTCTTTGCTTTTTCTCTCGTCTGAATGGAACTGCTTCACCTGCTCGACACATCCACATCGTGTCAAACAGAGTCGAGCCCTAACAGACAAGGTGACAAAAGGCTGTAATCTCTGCGCTGCCGAGTGTGATTCTGGGACAGGGTGTGTCAGAAATACCTGTGAAAATCCTCCCAGCCGCTAGGCTCGAGTGAGCGAGCGATGACGGGACGTTTCAGTGGATCGGCGTGAACAACAAGACTCGTGCCAAGACTGAGGGGAAAGACGGGGAGAAACGAGGAGCCTAGAATTGACTGAAACCTGCCAAGTGGGGCTCCCTTGCTGTTTTGGTGAAATGTGACAGAAGAGGAAGCTGAAAGTCTCATGGAGCTAACTGCTGAGTTGTAGTCGTACCGTCATGACAGCTGAGAAAGTTGACATTTCGAACGGAAAATCTTTAGTATGTCAGCTTGGTGCAACAAAGCAGTGGGGAAAAAGTTAACATATTGTGGCGCAATCAGTCAGCAATACAAGGAATTATGATCTGTTCAGTAAAATCATTCTTAATTTCCTGATTCAGGATTTTCTTACTGATTGAAACCTGGTTAAAGGCATTGCTTTAAATTTGCTGCTCTTTTTAAAAATATTGATTCAGCTGTGGTCAGGCTCAGCAGCGAGACAAGCAGAAAAAACCTTTTTTTCTTTTATGAGCATCAACAATAATCTTTTTTCAATTTCTCATTTTGTCATTTAGTTTATTTAAAATAGAGCCTTTAGATAACTGTTTATAACGACAGCAAGGCCGCTTAGAGGAGAAATTAAATTGTAGAGAAAGGTTTTTGTTTGTTTTCAAGCTTGGACAATAAAGCTGAAATGTTAGAAAAGAACATCAGAATAACATTTCCAGAATAAAGGTAAAATGCTGAAGGAAGGGAAAAAGTCTAAATTGTGTTGAGCTCAATAAAAAAATAATCTCATTGTTCTCCCATACCTGACTGTTTTTCTTTCCTATTCTTTTGAAGGCCAGGATTATGGGTGTAATTTAAC